TAAAAAGTAAGTAAATTAATTATGTCTTCAGGGTGTATGAAGATGTCAGTGGTTCTGCATCCAAGAAAATGATGATTATAATGTTTTCGGGCTTGACTTGTTGAATGCAACTCTCTCATAACATAAAATTGAATTCTTTCTTTGCAATTTGCCATTGCCAATCAGAGATGAAGAAAAATCCGTCATGACATGAATAGTTGCGGGCGCCTTAAAAATCCATTTACAAATGTTTTGTGGTATTTGTGCTCATTTTGACTGATTATTACATCACACATCGCGTATACAGAGATCACAAAATCGCAAATAATCGCGATAAATTCCAATGAATTACAACTGGCAATGCGCGCGCAGCGCTCGTCATAGGTATCGAAAGAAAGAGAGACGAGAAGGCAATAGGCATGTATTTAGGCACGTCAACTGAAGCAAACAAATTTACCCAAAGTTGTCGATGTAAACAAGTACAATTTTGTACATATGTCTATTAAAATTGCTAAATGCACACACAATTGTTTTGAATTGAGAGATTTCAACACATTTCACCGTCACAACCAATGAACGAACGAACGATGAAACCAAAACACAAGATGAGACACAATTTAGAAAAAAAAAACCAAAACAAAAACGGCCGAAGTTAACTTAAACAACAGAGACGATTGCAATAATACTCTGGATGTGTGTACATTTACGGGCACGCAATAATAAACGATTAGTAATGAGCAACATCTATTCAAAAGTAACAACAGAAACAATAAAAAGAAACCCGAAGAGAGACACTCATCATCAAAAACCGTCGAACAAAATCGGTGTAATGCAAAACAATAAATCATGCTGTTTATAATCTTAATTATATCAAATGTGCGCGCGCAATCGTTCAGCATTTTACGCGCCGTCTGCTAAATCGTTTGGCCAAACAGAGAGAAAAAGCGAGTGAATTGGCGGAATAATGGACGGAAAATCTTTAGCGAAAAAAGATCCATTAGTTCAGTATGATGACTCACTAAGTACGCGCTTACATTTTCGATGAGGATTTCATTTAAATGATATCTTTGTGCTTGAGTGCGAACCCTTCAACATATATGCCAGAATTCCGATGTGAATGTGTAATAGTTGTGAAAGACAATCACACTGAACAAAAAAAAACACACCTGAGCACGCCCATGGTAGCAATGAAAAAGTTACTCTAATTGAGTACCTCGATGACGAATTAAAAGGTTGAATGAAAACGAAACATACGCCAAGACCTATCGGAAGCGAAACGAAACGAATCACACAAATGCAACGAATAGTGAATCGCAATCGTCGTAATTTACTATACTACATATGCATCTGGCATCTATAAAGCCAGTCAAAGATATAATCATATATTTTTTTCGGTTATAAAATCTAATTGAAACAATTCTTCAATAAATTGCATTTATTACTTCATCATCAGATCAGGCAAAGGAAAACATCTTCGTCTATAGATGAGAGTGATCATTTAGTTTGCCCATACAGCCCATTACCGTGGCTACTCCATCATCATGTTCTGCATTGGCATCACATCGATGCCGCTTCGCTTCGCCTTCAGCAGTGACGAAATCTAATTAATGTGAAGCGAATCTTTTGCTTATTCCATAACTTTTCGCTGGAATTGTGCTGTTGCTCAGCTTGATAATAATACGTTTTACAATATTATGGTGTATTTGTTTTTGAAGAAAAAAAATGTCAATAAAATGACAGAGAGCGTTCACTTTACGGCACTTGTTATAAAAACACACACAAATCACACCATCCCGACTTTAATCTTACGGTTTCGATCACGGTGTAGGACACGCTAGCAGTGAATTAAATGTTGCAATCGGGAACGAAATAAAGGTTTTTTTAATGAGATGTCAGTGCAGCATGACATCCAATATACTGTTGCTTAAATGATGATGATCAAAGCCATGTGCACAAACGGTGAATTGCTTTTAGCGCTGAATCAGGAAAAAATGAGAGCCAATTTGTATTCAGATTCAATTTCAGCGTCACTTTAATTAGTTCAACATAAAGTTGAGACTCGGCTCAATCAACTAGATTTGCGCTTGCTTATGTGGCCAGCAAATGCCTAAAGCCCCATGAGTCTTGTGCGCATAGATTTTTTTCGCTTAAATCGGCACCTTTTCAAATGATATATTTTCATTTAAAATGTAAACATGCCAGTCCCGTTATGTTGATGTTGTTTTTGCAATATCGAAGTGTTTTTGGCCGATCAATCTGCGGTGAACCGTTTTTCATCGGCAAGGTCGTTCAAAGACACATCGGTCCAAAATGTGCACAAAAATCGAAACATATTCCCCACATGCAATTTCAAAACGATAAATTCCAATCACAAAACAGACACATTTCATCTTTGGCAGGCACTTGGCAATTTTCCCAATAATTTATCCTCAATTTCGAATGGAAAACAGGTTCTTTTTGGTCATAAATAAAATTATTTCAATTTTATGCATTTGTAATTTTCGGTTCATGTTCGAAGCTGATTGGAATGCCGACCAAAATGAAATATCGAATGTATAGACCTATTCTGAAACATGTAAACGTTGTTTCTCTTTTCCATACCGTTTGTGATAAATATAATTAAGAAAAATATGCATTTCGACTTGAAACTTGCTTCGCTCCTTCAAAACAACTATAGAACTCGAAACTCGATATAAATATAATATGAGCAATTAAATTTTCATCCAATAACAGAGTTCTTTTTGCTTCGCATACATTTTGGTGGAACCGGTCTTTCAAACAATGTTGTGTGCCACTGCTGCAATGCACCGACTCGATTCGCTTCATTTGTACACGTGCTTTGGTTTTGTTTTGACTCTTTTATTCTTCTTGGCTCTTTATTTAGTGCACAAACATACACAACCATTTTGTATGTTCAACTTCATTCCAGAAAAGCAACAACAACCACATATTTCAAATACGAGCAATATTTTAGGGGGTCTCATGCGGTAATAATGTCTGTTTTATGTAGGATTCGACAAGTGGGCTTAATTGTGTATTGCAGTAAATTGCGCCTCTTAGATTTTGCTCAACATTCGAAGAGTGAGAGAGAGAAGAGCGCAAGTATGATCAGCACACCAAAAGAAAGAACAACTTAACCGTTACGCGCGTGCATAGAAACGAAATGGTGTTTGTAGATGTGGATTGAAATGCCGCATATATGTATACATAGAAGCAATACATCGCACCGCGAATATCTTTCTCATTTAGAAAGAACAAAAAAGCAGTTATGGAAATCGTGTAACAACATTTTACAGCCTGTTTTTATTATTATTATATATTTTTTTGTTTTTTTTTTTATGCTCATTTTGTCGGTGCGGTTTTTGAAGCCAAAATGCAAGTCGTCGAATTGTTTGTATTGTATTTCTATTGCTCGAAAATTTCGTAACCCGGGCATATGAATTTTTAACAGGTGTTCAGTTTATATGCGTTTCTCTCTCTGTTTGTCTCTCTTTTGGTTATTGTTGCCGTTTTTGTTTTGCTACCTTCGCGCTTGGATGTCACTTAAAAAGGCACACCGATCTCATACTCAAACTGGCAGTCGTATGGAACGATGTGCATTTTATTCATTTTTATGGTTGAAAAATTCATTAAAACAGAGTCTTTCGAATATACCATCTATTCTTATAATAAATCATATAAACTTATGAATAGAAAAGGTTCTTCAATTTCGGGAAAAGTTATATCATTCAATCTGTGATAATTTGTCAAGTTTATGGGGGAATATTCGTCGTATTTGTTTTATTTTTCTCTACCTTTTCGTCTCTTCTTTGGTTAATTTGTTTCTGTTTTGATTTTCATGTCTTTTACATGCAGAAATTTGAGTTCAAAGTCCCTTCAATTTCTTTTAAAAAACTGAATTTAAATTTGGCCCATTTCTCTCGATATATTTTAATCGAAGTTCTCATGTATTTTTCATGTATATGCATTGCATGGATTCCATTCCAGAACATTGTAGTTAAAAAATGGTTCTTTTCCGGTCCAAATTAAAACATAATTATTTAATTATCGAAAGCGATAAATGGCAACAGAGAACAAAAAAAAAACAAACAAAATAGCCAAGGTGTTTGTTGCATGTATCTTTTCAATTCTAATGAGTTGGTGAAAAAAAAAACGGCAGAATTCGTCGTGAATCGTGCTCAGACAGACAGACCTAGAATTGTATTGCAAAACATGGCAAATGGAACACATTCACGCACCTATTACCTTTCGGTCGGTTTATTACACCCGACCGTGTGAAATGGTCAAACTGAACACGATTCATTTGTTATTATTATATGCAAACGGCCATAGAAATTCGGCTCTTTCGTTGGCATTAAAGAAAATCACGTGCTTCACTCTTCATGCACAGCATGAGCGAAAGAGATGGATAAACGCAACCAACATTAAAATGCTATGAAGCAACACAATTATGCTAAAAGGTTTTATTCGCTAGACACATTTCGACGGAATGATGTTAAGAAAAATTCCATCGGCCAAGTCGCTCATTTGTTATTCGCTCGCGCGCATAATAAGCTTTGGAAAAAGGTTGAATGAAGAATGTACAAGAATGAGAGCTGTAGAACAGCAGGCACACCAAAGACCTGCTCTCTACATACGTTATATGTACGAAAACTGATCGTGTTTGTAATTTGATCACCATCTGAATGTAACGGCACATTTTCGACATGTATATACAACTCACATGAAAATTGTGTACACATTCAGTTCGAAAAATGTCGAATTTTACACATTTCGTGACATCGGATCGCCACCCATTCATGCTGTCATTTGGTGTATGATCAAGATCAATGTTATGAACACGCGAAAACATTTTGGTCGCATCAAAAATGACGAAATAATTGCGATTGGAGCAATTTTTTTAGCAAATAACTACCTGATTCCTGACTGTGGTCATCATCAAACGAATTAATCAATATGCAGAAATAATAACATTTTAACTACCGTAATTCTAACGATTATATTCTTTCTTTTTTTTGCAGCGCAATCGTGCAGCTTTCCCGGCTCACCTGCTCACAGCAACGTTGAATTCTCGGACGATTCACTGGAAAGTGGCACAATAGCATCGTACACATGCGAACGAGGTTTTGAACTATTAGGACCATCACGACGCGTTTGTGACAATGGACAATGGACTCCAGATGGCATCCCATTCTGTGGTAAGTTCAGTCATTCAACACTCTTTCGTATTCAAAAATTGATTTGCTTTTATTGGCAAGCACTTTAACGACGCGAGCACGTTTTAAAAAGAAAAGAAAAAAAAAACAGTTACAAGTTGAATAAAAAAACTGCGTATTTGTACAATGATATGCAAATTCATTGAAAAAAATCGTTCAATGTGTGTAAATCGGGTAATCGGTGCAGCTAACCGCAAACAAATGTGCTCTAGTTTGCGCCACATATGATTACGTGAAAATAAATCGATACGATCATTTTCTATGATAAAATGTTGCAAATTGTCTACATGCAATCAACCGGATTTATTTGACTAAACATTTTGTACGTTCATTGTGTTGCAGTTAGCAAAGAATAAATTGTTTTTTTTTTTTTTTTTTTTTTTTTAAAAATTAATAAATTTTTTTTTTTTTTTTTTTTTTTTTGTGAAAATTGCACAATCGTTAAATTAACATGTTTTGACTTGAGAATAAAAAATAGTTGCTCTCGATTCTTGTAGTGATATTAAACCAGCCTCACACATAATTTCAATGAATTTGCATAAAAATTAACATTCGACAATTGTTTGGATTTTGACACAAATACAGGCTCAATTTCAATTAACAGTTTAGTTTTCGTTTCACATGCTTAAATCTCGCAAGAACTAGATTCCTATGACAGTTCAATTCATTAAGCAGTTTGAGCAAAGAGAGAAAACAAAATCTGTCGGAGTACAGCAAAATAGAAACTGTCTAATTCATAATTTTAATAAATTGTCTGACACGACTAATGTGATAGGCACGAATATCAGTTTTTGCAGTCGATTTGGGTTTGCGGTTTTATGATGCCAATGTCGTTTGTTCAGCAATCAAAGACATCAAGTTAGAAAGAAGGATAACAAGTCTGAAACTCATCGAAATGGCGTCTTTTTCAAAGACTATTTCTCCATAAACCCGACATTTTATCTTGGCCGCCTTACCATGTTTGTGCATTAGTATTGGATCAATTAAAATAATCTATTCGGAAATATTATTTCTCGACATTGACTGACTGCTACTTAGTTAGGAAGGCACACTTTTCACAGTGAGTCATTGCAATTATCATTATTTGACCAGTGGTCTAAGATAGAAGCGACAAAAACTGGTGAAAAAGAAGCGTTTGAACTGGTTTTTAAGCAATTAACTAACCACCAAGAATGAGAAAATTGAATGATAAAAAAGAGAAAAAAAAAACGATGAAATGTCGAAGTGTTGGCCAGCTTGCTCAATACATCGATGTATGTTTACCGTTAATGAATGAGAGAAAGAAAAATCTTGTGTGTTCTTCTTTTTTCACCTTTCGATGATTCTGTTGGACGTGCGAACCGTATGCATCGACACATGTGTCTATCTATTTGATGCTGTGTGTGCCCATGCTACAGGTTTGTTTGATTTGTTCAACGGTTCCGTTCGATCGAATACCGATGACATAAATATATACATACACACGCTGATCACAGAAATTATGTGATTCGATAAAGTCAATCAGTGTGCATGATTTGGGTCTATGTACTGTAAACATGCCGGCCTTACAAACAATCGTAACATTGTGTCTGTATTACAATTGGAAATGAGTGGCTCGGAGTGGCTGATGTAATTTACTGGTGCGATGCAATCAAGCGAATGAGTTCAAACCCCAGATATATATATTGATGGGTCCACATTGGATTCTATACTCTTGTCAGTATTGAGTTTTCCTGTCCACATTTCTATTCACCAAAATATATAACAAACAATGATTATTTCAATCATTTAAGCAGAAATTTGTCGTTAAATAAGCAATCGAAATTACCTGTTTTCTTTTGCTTGACTGTTTTTCAATCAATCGCTCTGTGTGTGAATGAGTATAGAATGGAGAGCGCATGAAAAGAGAGATTGCCTTCTATACTGGCCTACATTTCGAAATGTAAAATAATTGAATTACATCGTTCATTGATTTACATAAATTTCTACGACGAATGAATTTCAACAACGCCTTTTACAGACCACACATTTTTATATAGAATATTGTAAATATTCTTCAGTGTGTCGGTTTCAATTTTTAACGATATGCATGACGGTTATTTGGAACCACGACGATTAATTGTGACTTCACATTCCGAGTCAATTTAAATGTGGTTACAAGTGTTCCTTGGGCATTTTTTCGAATCATTTTCATCAAATTTTATGCTTTCTAGACTGAAATGAGGAAGGCGCCGTTGCTCATTATATAAATGAAATTCCAAGCGTCGAAAATGTCAAATTTCGTTAGATTAATTAGATGCACGAGAAAAATAGCACGAGCAATCGAGTTGAAGAATTCGCAAAACGACCAATTTCGATGCTAATTTTTTTTATACCTGCGGTTATGCTAACCACTAATTCGAGTGTTTGTACACGTTGTACATTTCTGAAGTGAGAATACACCGTGTATAATAACTCTATGATTGTTGGCCTCGCCAATTGGCGGTTCAGCCCCGAAAATGCCACACTCATGGACTAAAAAACACTTAGCGTTCGATGAAATTGAAAGAGAAAAAATGCGCTTGGCCGTAAGTGCAAGACATTTATGTTGTTTGTTTGAAATTGAAAATATGCAACCAAATTGAAACTTCACTTTCTTTCAGCTGAACGATTGTAACTGATATGAAACGAGAGAAAAAGAAAAATGAAGAAAAAAAAATATGATGCACTTTGAACAATCAGTGTTATTTGCCGACAAGTCACGATCAGACCATTCACAGTGCGACCGAAATAGACTGCACATTTTCATTTTAACAAGACACCGTTTGTGGTTATGGCCATTTGGTAATTACTGTGTTTTCGAGGTTTTGTTCGAACAATAGCGTCGCTATTGACTCGTTGGCCCGTGGACACATTGTCTCTCGGTTTTGTTTCTTTGCGTTTTGCATGCAAAACGAGCCTGATCAGCACGTATTTTGTACGAGATTTTGTATCGCATATATATATTTTTTTTATTTTCTTATTGTATCTGGAGATACATAAAGCGTCAATGATCATAATTAGATTTGGTAAACAAGTCGACGGTTGTGAATGTTTTCACCTCTTTTTTGTTCTTTGCATCTCACGAAAATTGCGTATTCGAAGCGAGAGCAGAGAGCACAAAACTGTTTGGCAAGAGAGCAAAAGTGAGATATAACAACCATAATTTTCAATGCTATCATTTTTATAGTGAAATTGAAAGATATGGATTATCGTAGTTAAATCGAAATTGAAGCCAACAGCAAATATAGCCTGTGTGTGTGTGAGAAAGTCTGAATGCGGGCGTAATTCACCTTAAGTCACCATTAGCAAATGCAACAACAACGAGAAAATAAATTCAATGGAAAGAAATTGAAAGCAAAAATACACAGGCAATCCAAGAAAGTCAAAAACAATAAGCATATAAAGCAATAAAGCCAACAACAGAATATAAATAAAACATTAATTCGTTGAGTTTGTTATTTTTTTTTTTTCGTAAAACTAAGAAAATTTTCTCATGGTTTTAAAAGACGCGGCATTCGGTTGATGCCATGATCTTGATCTATTGTGTATATGTGCTTGGCTTTGTTTGCTCGACGATGACGGCGACGACGACGACGACGTGTGTGTGAGTGTATTTTTCTATTTAGAAAATGGCATCGAGTTAAAGTTCAATGATAAAAAAGGTGCATTAAAGAGATGCACATGCAAATAGATATCATTTCTCGCTTTGCGAGACGAAATGTTAAAAATGCGCTTGCCTTGATTATGCACAAGGAAAGTGATTTTATTTCGTTCATTTCACATATTGTGCTGCCATCACTGATGTGCTGCCGTTGTGAGCGCAATTCGTAATCTAAATTTTACAAAGTCGACTTGTCTATTTCTCGAATGATTTCAATTCGAGTCGGGAACAAAACAACGCAATAAATTAAATGCATGTTTTAATGGCATCGCGGTTGCTTCTTTTTTTGCCTTCTGTTTTTTTATGCTACTTACTACTGCTTATTACAATTCGAGCAACGCTCATCATCGTCGTGATCAAGATTACCACAGTGTTTTTTGTTGCTGTTGCTGTTGTGCATACATCATTTTAATTCTTTTCAGCTCAAACACTGTAAGTGTTTGTACGCGATGAGAGTTTCGAAAATTTCATTTTAACATTGTTGATATGTGCGGTACGTATGTATGTTTGAAACACTTTTTCTTCTTCTGCAATCTGAAAATGCAGGCACATAGCTCATTAATGCCGCACATACATAGTAGAATACATACTGCGATCGTACTTTTATAATCATATTTAGCATTGGCTTTTTATGCGACTTTTGTTCACTTTTCATCGCTCATTTTCAAGGTAAATGAAAGCAAACTCGAATATGCTTCTCTCTCACTGTAATGTTGCTAATGTGTTTTCCTCACATCGCGCACGCTCACACATAGAGATTCAACGAAAGTGGATCATTTTAATGTAATTTTAGTCTTTAGATATATAAAGATTGTGAAAATACCTCATTTCAATGGAGATTCATTTCATGTGTTTTTTTTTTCTTTCTTAGTTCTCTTTATAATCTGGCGATTTGAATCATTTCGCTTGATTTTGAATGGACTCGCCTCTTTTATTGTGTTCTTCGCTTTTATTTGGCCATTCTGAATGCGAATTTAAACCATATAAGCACATTATATGTAGATTTCACCATTTTTCTTTCAAATTTGATTATTGTAATAATATTTGTCATCATCAAACCGAAAGTGATGATTCAAATGAATCGCATTTTCTTTCGATATGGATCTTCAAACGGTTTCTTTTCGAAAGAAAGAAAACAAAACGCGATTTTGTATGTACTTTTTCCTCTTTCTTTTCTGCTTTTGACTTAAATTTGGCAGTAAATTGAGTTCTATTCTTCCAATTAAATTGTGGTGTTCTTCGGCATTGTTGAATAACTTTTTCCCAACGGACATTTCCGTTGTGTGCATTGAAGGTAAAAAAAATCGACTGAATTTGGCCT